GGGCTGGGGTGATTGCGCATCATGTCCACTCCCTCTATACATTTGAAAAACCAAATTCCGAGCACTTAGTATTTTTTCGTGCAATGGCAGCAATGGTATAGCAGCTGTACTCAGTATATATACTCAGTATTGCTCACTGGAGAGTGTATTCACTGTATTACGGGCTCTGCAGCTGCCAGCTGCAGTGAATGCATTCATTGGAGTTCATACAACTGCGCTGTAGGTTTCTGAAAACAGCAGGTTTCGCGAAACAGCACGTTCCTCAAAACATGAAGTGAGAATCGGAGAGGAAGAAGTCCAAAGAACAGCTCAAAACACGGCATTAACCTGCTATACCATTGCTGCCAATGCACGAAAAAATGTTAAGTGAGAATCGGAGAGGTTTCCTTATCTGCGATTTGGTAGGTTAATACACGATTGATTGATTGATTGATTGATTGATTGAATGACTTACTGATAGATGAGTAATGGATTGGGGGGTCGATTGATTGTCTGATTGTCTGATTGTCTGATTGATTGCTTGCTTGCTTGCTTGCTTGCTTGATTGATTGATTGCTTGTTTGCTTGCATGATTGATTGAGGTCTGATTGCTTGCTTGTTTGATGTCATTGGTTTGTTGATTGATTGATTCATTGATGTCAATCAATCAATCAATCAATCTGTCAATCAGACACCAATCTATCAATCAATCAAACAATCAATCACTGATTGATTGATTGAATGAGTGATTGAGTGACTGATTGATTGATTGAATGATTGACTGATAGATTGACTAACGGACTGACTAACTGGTTGATTGATTGATTGATTGATTGATTGAGTGAGTGAGTGAGTGAGTGAGTGAGTGAGTGAGTGACTGATTGGAAAGAAAAGAAAGAAAGGAGGAGGCGGGGGAAGAGGAAGACGACTAGGAAATGGATGAGGAGGACGACGAGGAAGAGGAGGAGGAGAGAACGAGAGGAGGCGGCAGAGGGCGAGGAGGAGGATGAAGAGGAGGAGAAGGAAGACGTCCCTAGCCTGAACCTTTCCCCCCATCTTTACCCCCAACCTTCTCGCCGACCCCCTTTCCCCCTGATATTTACCCCTCGTTTTATCCACCTCCCCGAATCAATCAATCAATCAGTCAATCAATCAATCCAACCAATCCATCAATCCATCAATCCATCAATCCATCAATCCAGCGATCAAAGATTAATTGATTGGTTGGTTGGATTGATTGATTGATTGATGGATGGATTGATTGCTTGCTTGATTGATTAACTGGCTGGGAAAAAAAAAAAAAAAAACCAAGAAGGTGGTAGGGCAAGGAGGAAGATGAATACAAAATGAATGAGGAGGAGAACGAGGAAGACTAGGAGGAGGATGAGGAGGAGAGGAGAGGAGGAGGCAGAGGGCGAGAAGGAGGATGAGGACGAAGAAGAGAAGGGGGAGGCGGTGCCGTCCATGGAGGCAGAGGCGGTGATGAGGGGGAGACGGCGGCAATGGACAACACGGCGGCAGAGATGGGGGCGGCGGTGGTGGCAATGGAGGCGACCACGGTGATGGTGGTGGGCGCGGCGATGGGGGAGGCGGATGCGAAGGTGGAGATGGGGGGGGAGAAGAAGGGCGACGAGGAGGAAAAAGAGGAGGAAGAAGAGAAAGAGGAGGAGGAGGAGGAGAAGGAAGGGGAGAAAAAGGACAAGAAGGCGGTGACCATAAAGGGGGTGACGGGGGCGATGGCGTGGCAATGCAGGTGGCTGCGATGATGGAGCCGGACTCGGCAATGGAGGGGGAGGCGGCTGCGAAGGCCGAGATGGGGGAGGAGAAGAAGGACGAGGTAGATGAACAAGAGAAAGACGAGGAGGAGTGGAGATGGTCGAGAAAAAGGATGAGGAAGAAGAAGAGGAAGAAGAAAAATAAGGAGGACGAGGAAGGAGAAGAAGAAGAAGAAAAAGATAAGGAGGACGAGGAAGGAGAAGAGAAGGAGGACGACGAAGCAGAAGCGGTGGACACGGAGGATGAGGAAAGGAAAAGGTCGAGGAGGAGGAAAAGAGGAGGACAAGGACAAGGTGGATAAAGGTCTCTCTCTCTCTCTGTCTCTCTCTCTGTCTCCCTCTCTCTCTGTCTCTCTCCCTCTCTGTCTCTCTTTCTCTCTCCTCCCTCTCTCTCTATCTTCGTGGACAGCTCTCTCTCTCTCTCTCTCTCTCTCTCTCTCTCTCTCTCTCT